AAAGGATGCAAGACTCGAACAGATAGTTGACTGAGGATAATAGCGATTTGAGCGTTTTCGTGAAATTTCCCAAGGATTTGTTCAATTGAGCTATTTTTCTGTACCGAACCTGTCAAAAGGGCGTTCTCCTCCAGAAGCGTGAACACATCTTTGATGTCTCCTCAGTCCAAAGAACCAGCTCCAACGGGACCCAAGTCGTCTGTATGGTTTCACATAAGACAGGGTGTCAAAGTCTGCCGGGCTCGATTGGTGATGCTGGATGGACACAAATCTACCCGCGAAATCTACCCACGCAAATGGTGGTGAGGCCGAGACGAGCTCAAATCCGCAGATAAAGAGGAAACCAGTCGAAGCTGGTACAGTTTTAGAGGACTCAGGCTTCTATCTGCCATAGGCTTCACTCGCAAACTACGCTTAAAATGCGAAATTGTCCCGATTTTGCGAGAAAGTGATGAATACATTTGCTAACTAAACACTCGACAAACGATACTCTTTTTAGATCTTGTCCTGGACAGAACCATCGAATAGCATCGTCCGAATGGAGGGTTTTGACTGATTATTTCCAAAAAGTCCTTGAGACATTCCGAAGCACGGTGCTTCATCCTCTTTTTCATCCGACGCAGATGAATGTATCGCCGGGATTCACAGTCGTAAGAGATACAGGTTGGCAGGTCAACTAGACGATTTCACCGTCAATCGGAGGCAAGAGATAAGAGCAGGCTGAGCTATGAAGACCAAATTGTGTGTTCGGTAGCTATGGCAACGAGTGAAAAACGCCCAAACGTGATGAGGAGATGTCAGTCCAGATTGTAAAGTGTACACAACATGCGAACGGCACTGTTGATGGTATATGCAACATCAAGATCCGGACTAATGTCTATATTTATCGTTTGTGGATGTCGAGACCGCAGTTCTTTCGCCCGATTTCAATGCCGCCTGCCTACGGCGGGCTCATAGAGACTCACTCGCTTTTAAGGTTTTCACGGCGACCGGAGTGGTTCCATTCCAGATGGCTCGGTAGACCTCGCCGAACTGGCCCTGTCCTATTCGCTCACGGAGGATAATGGAGGACTTGGATATTTCCCATTTGTCGACAAGATTGTGAGACAATCCAAAGGGCTCAGGGTGCGTTGGCTGCAAGAGAAGAAGGAAAAATGTGATCAAAAAAGTGAATATATAAAGTCAAGTTGGCGCCAATGTCAGGTTTGGTGAAAGAAAAGTGTAAAATGGCCTCAATGAAAAGTGAAGAACGATAGCTGTGCGCATCATCCTGCACTTTGTATCTAAAAAAAAGTTGGGTTTCGAGGAATCGCTTGTTTCACAATTGGTGAGCTAACTTCCGTTTAGAGTGAAAGTGTTGCGTGAACAGATTCGAAGGTCGGTTCCACCAGAAGACGACGATCGGCTTTACCGGAACATTCATGCCGATTCCGGTGAAAGGTGTTAAGC